GAGAGGAGGTGCCCCCCCCCCCCCCCCACGCGCACATACACACAAAGTATTACACAGAATCCTGCAAATCTCAACTTTATAAAGCGGCTCGCTGTGGCGTTCTGCCCCCCAGGAAACTCCCCTGGAGTTATGGGGAAACGATCCTGTTCCCCCTAAAGTCCAGGGGGCAGGCAGCGGCGTCCCTGCCTCAAAAAATGGGCTGGCGGGGGCATTTGGTCGGTCTCGGCGCTTAAGGACTCGGCTGTGACCATTTTGTCGTTGGGGCTCAGTTTTAAATCTGCTCCTTTCACCTCGGATCTGGTGGCGGTCTGGTGGGGCGGGGAAGAGAGGGAGAAACTCGAAAGAAATGTATTTAAATAGCAACCTTTTAAAAATCTGTGCTATGTTAAAAGTCAAAGAACTTTAAATTGTTGCATTCTTGCCAGATTCTCCCCCTCTGCTTTTAGTAATAAACTATTATTTACACAGCAATCTGCACACTTTTTTATTTTTAGAGGGAAACACAACAAAATCCTCCTCTCAAAATTATTTTAAAGTTTTTTTCCCTCCCCCAAGTAATTGTAAGTTTTATGGAAATCCAAAGAAGACCCCGGTTTGAAATAATCAGGAGCGATTTATTCCTATAGAGTGACAGTTCTTTTGAACAGTAACCGAATGGCATTTTCTGTCTTTCTGAAAGCTTTTCTTCCAGATTTTGTTCAGATTAGGCCGGGGAGATGAATGCCGGCATTATCCAGACCAGTAGCTATTCTGAAATGCCAAATTAATTACCAAGGGCTGAATCAAGGCGATGGGGACTGAGAAGAGGGGCGGCGAGGTGGGGGAAACGGTTTTAGGTGTGAAAATATCGGTGCGATATTTTAAATCCCGACAACCTAGTGAAAACGCGGAAATTCGGAGTAGGGTGCCCGCGGGCGCAGGGCCGGAGTTCGGGTTGGTTTTGTCTGGCTTGGGACTGCTCGACACCCCAGGCCCCTGCCGCGCCTGGGGACTTGCTTTTACATTCTTGTTTCGCGGCGCTGAGAAATCCCCACACTTCTAAGGCAGCGATGGCCTTCCCGATTTCAGGTGGGAAATTCTGTCCGAGGCAACTCAAACCCGCTTGCACGAATACACACTTGACCGGAGTTCGGGTTGGTTTTGTCTGGCTTGGGACTGCTCGACACCCCAGGCCCCTGCCGCGCCTGGGGACTTGCTTTTACATTCTTGTTTCGCGGCGCTGAGAAATCCCCACACTTCTAAGGCAGCGATGGCCTTCCCGATTTCAGGTGGGAAATTCTGTCCGAGGCAACTCAAACCCGCTTGCACGAATACACACTTGAACGCCCCCTTAGAAGGAGTGTGAGAAATCGGTTTTGGCAACGAACAGAATGAAAGGGGAAGGAGGGGAAAGCTGGAAGAAGGCGGGTAAAGACCCCGCATTGCAATCTTAAGAACACGGACGCTCATG